TGAGCTGTATGTTGAGGAGAGTTGCATTCACATTTTTTAGAAACCAAGGGAGAGGCTGAAAAGATGGTTCAGTCATTTTGAGTGTTTAGTGCTCTTGCAGAGGAGCCAAGTTCAGTTCCCAGCACCCTTGAGCAGCTCACAACCACCTTTAACACCAGATCAAGGAGTCTCGGCAGGCATCTGCACACATGCACACACAAACTCACACAGGAAAACATACATATACATAGATAAAAATTTAAGGTGCTGGAGAGATGGCTCTGTGGTTAAGAGCACCAGCTGTTCTTGAAGATGACTCAGGTTCAATTCCCAGCACCCACATGGCAGCTAACAATCATCCATAACTCCAGTTCCAGCGGAATCTGACACCTTCTCCCAACCTCCGTGAGCACTGCATGATGCAGGTGCACTTACATGCAAGCAATACACTCAGACACAAAAAATATTTTTTAGAAATTTTTTTTAATTTCAAAAGGAAGGAAAAAACAAAAATTTCTCCCTAAGCAGAGAAATATTACTGCAAAAACAACATAAGTTTATACCTAGAATAGTTCAGGTAGTACTTGTAAGTCTGGAATAAGGCTATAACTCAGTGGTAGAGCACTTACAGACTGGTGCATGCAAAGATTATAGATCTGGATTGAAGAGTTAAAGTTAACAGAGAAAATTATAACTACATACAGTGGCACAGGTCTTTAATGCCAGCATTTAGGAGGTAGAGGCAGGAAGATCAAGAGCTTAAGACCAGCTTTTGGCGAGGTAGAAAGTTGGAGGCCAGCCTAGGCTACATGAGACCCCGAAAAAAAAAAAGGAGGGGGTATATTACGAAGTTCCTCAAGAACTGTTAGTAAATCTCATAAAAAAACATATTCATCTTTTCCAAGACAAATAATCTTAATAATTCTATATGACCAAATGAACTAAAAGTATTATTTCACTTAATTTATGAAACATTAAGTGATTTGAAGATTTTATTTTTCTTTTCAATTATGTGTATATATGTGTATCTGTGTCTAAGTATGGGCACCTAACTGCAGTACCCGCAAAAAGCAGAAGAGGGTGTTGAATCCCCTGGAGTTGGAGTTACAGACAGTTGTAAGCTGCCTGATGTGGGTGTTGCGAACTGAACTCTGGTCTTCATAAGAGTAGTCCATGCTCTTAACCACTGAGCCATTTCTCCAGACCCCGTAAGCTTTCTTTTTAATGGAAACGTATGTCAGAAAAGCAGGATCATGCCACAGAATTTGGCTAGTGGGAGGGTACTTGACCAGCACGTATGGGGCCCAAAATCTGATCCTTAACATCCTCAAAAAAGAAAAAAGAAGGGGAAGAGGGCTAGTAGGATCTACTTGATCTTCCTTGAACTTCTAATCGATTGTCCTCTAACTTCCACCTGTGTTCCCCTCCTTAAGTGATGTGGGACTGTTTGGGTTACGAATTGTTTTAAAGGCCAAGACTGTATCTCCAGAGTCTCTGCCATGTTGCCAATGATTGAGATCATTAGCTATGAACTCTAACTTATAAATACACTGTTTATTTTAAAAGAGAAAAAAAAAAAAAGACACAGGGCATAGTGGCATATACCTGTAAACCTACCTACCACTTGGGAGGAGAAGGCAAGCCTTGGCTAGAGACTGCAAGGGGGTCACCAGGCATGATGGTGCACACCTTTAATCCCAGCACTCAGGAGACAGAGGCACGTGGATCTCTGAGATCCAGGTCAGCCTGGTTTACACGGAGCTCTAGGGAGGCTGGAGCTACTGGGAGACCCTGTCTCAAAAACAAACAAACAAATACAACATCGGGGAACTGGGAATGTAGCTCAGAGGTATAATGCTTACCTAGCATGCATGAGGTCCCAAGTTCAATGCCCAACAAGGGAAAAAATGAGAGGAAGGAGAATAATTGACTAGTTTGATTTATCATGCAGCAACATTGTTCTCAAGGAAAGTTACTAAGTTCACTTATCTCTGAGAAGACAAAATTAAATCCACATGAATGAAAAAGACTGCCAGAACAGAAATAAAAAACCCAGGAAGGTGAAAAACACAAGCACAAACTAAAGTGCCAAGTCCATAGTGCCATGGTTTTAAAAGTCTAGACTCTAGGACTTAGGCAATATTTACTGATTCACACACACACACACACACACACACACACACACACACACTTTTGTCTAGTATGACAGTGATTACCAGAATATTAACTACAGAAACCAGCATGCATCACAACTATGAACTATATTAAACACTGCAAACAATAAAACTGAGTTTGCTGTAAACTCAGTCTTGCAGCAACCATTCCTCTTTGGTTAACAACCCCACCAAGTTGAAATTCTACTTGAAATTAGTTCTCTTTTTAAAGCATCTGCAACATATTTTCATTGATATTTCTGACCAAGTACTTTACTATACTCTTCATGGACAACCAACCATTCAAGAAACAGTAGTATTTAAATTCTCTCTTTTTCTGTATGGCAAAACTGAGAATAAAATTCATCAATCCTGGTATAATTAATGTGTAAGGTCAGTAGGACAATGTACATTTTGCAAAGTTACAAGGTTCAGGAAAATTAGCATGGTATCAGACCTTAAGAATAAACAAACACCTGGGGCCACCACTGAGCTGGCTCAGTAAGTAAAGGCCCTGCCACCAAGCCTAAAGACCTGAGTTCAATCCCTGGGACCCACATGGTAGAAGGAGAACTGAGAAATTGTCTTCTGACCTCCACCTGTGAGCTATGGTGTGCTTGTGTAATAAAATGTAATAAAAGTTAAGAACAAAACAAAGCAAAACAAAGCACCAGAGAGGCGGTGAGAGGATGAGGACTTTAAGGTCCTGCGTAGGCTACATTATGGGGGAACAGAAAAACATCCAAGTGAAGATAAATCTGTGACACATTCTCACTATACCCTAACTTCCTGACCACTGATGTTTATTAGCTCCCACTATCCTGACAGTTGAGAAACGGAAAATGAAATTTATAGTTTTACCCAAGTAAAAGCAAACCAGGCAAATAATTGTTTTCTCCTTTCCTTTGGATTTTCTCAGTGTGTTTTTAGCAAGAACCTCATAATAAACTAATGTCTGTAAAGAGACATTTGTGATTTACAAAACCCATCACCAGTAAGTCTGTACTGTACAAGAGAGGCTACGAAAGTAAAAGTGAGTGGCTCAGCCCCACAAAGCAGACTACCAAAGGCCAATTAAAATCACTGCCCTACGCTTGGGCAGATGGCTTTGCAGAAGCCAGAGAACAAGTGTGACTTTCAAATTCCCTCCTTTTTTTCTATTTTTTAGATAGGGTTTTTTTACTCTCTAACCAGGCTGGCCTGGAACTCAGTGGTCCTCCTTCCTCAGCTTCCTGAGTGCTGGGATTACAGGCATAAACCACCAGGTCCAGCTTACTTTTCTACTTCAAGAATGGCCATAAATCTTAAACAGCATTAGAATGACTGCACCTAAATAAACATCCCACAAAATTTGATTGAACTTCTACATAAGATACTGACTTTATTACAAGTGCTATCCAGTAATACTGGAGGTGGCCTGTAGAACTGTCTAAGAAGTATTTAGGAGCTGGGAGTAATGGGACTCCTTCTCATCAGAGCACTCCATAGGCAGAGGCAGAAACAGTGCCCCAACTTCAAAGCCAGCCTAGTCTACCCACGAGTTCCAAAGTGAGACGCTATCTCAAAAAAACCAAAGACCAAATCAAAACGAGAAAAAAAGAAAATCCCTCTGGTACTCCTTCCAAACCACTCTTCCGCTCCCGTGAGCATCTCGTCCTGTCCACAGCTTCCACTCCGTTCTGCTTCCAGCCTGTGTCCAGGTCTCTCTTCTCATGGCCCTCCACACCCATGTCTACTCAACACTCCTGCCTACAGCACTCCAATTTGAAACACAAACCCTGCTGATATGGAGCGCAATGACTTTTTATTATGACAAGTTGATGAATCTTGCTAAACCAGTGATGTACAGGTGCAGTCCTATTACTTGGGAGGCCGAGCGAAGAGGCTCATTACGTTCCAGGACAGCCTGGGCTACATTACCCAGTCTCAACAAAATTAAAATTACACAGCCGATAAAATTTTTCAGGAGAGTAATGACAAAAATGAAGTACTAGCAACCTCCAGTTTAAGCAGCTATCTGTGCTAAGTGCTGGTGCGGTCATCCTAGAGGACCTCGCTATGCAGCAGCTAGAACTACTTGAACTCCACCAACTTCTGGAAAGCTCCTGTCCCACTTCTAGCAAGTCACGAATGACAGACATCCAGCTCCGAGGCCCTGATGCCCTCTTTTGGCCTTTAGAGGCACTCGCACACACGTGCACCTGCACTCGCACAGATACACACACAATTTTTAAAAATAAATGACATGGGGTGTGGTGGCACAAGCCCCGAACCTCACCACTGAGTGAGCCGACCAAGAGACTGCTGCCAGTTCTGGGCCAGCCAGGGATGTCTAAGGAGCTCCGGGCCAGCCTGAGTGACAGACTGAGACGCTTGTCTCAAGAAGGAAAAAAACGATGGATGAATTATCTATTAGTGGTGTAATAATTTACCACTACAAAAACTAATTAAAATTCAAATTCTTCTCAAGAATACAAACAAATGAGAAGCCAGTCGGTAAACTCATTCAGCAGGTATTAGAGAAGCGGAGAAAAGTGACTGATTTATTTTAAAAAATGAGCTCAAAGTTTGGTAGCAAAGTTTCCAAGTGGACCCTCAGTTACAAATATCCACTACCGCCTTAGGCATGGCACGTAAAGCCACCACCCGAGTATCAAAACAGCAACCTCACACACTGAACGCTGTAATCATAAAACCCTGGTGAAATGGTTGACGAGCAGGTCCAGGGCCCGGTTTCATTCAGGCTCACAGTGGCAGGAAGACAGGGAGACTGCCCGAAGTTCTGCACGGACAGCCGGGTGCTGGGGACGCCTCGGTGGCCAGGGTGGGAAAACGGCGCCCAGACACCACAGCGATACGCGCGCGGCTTCAGACACGGCGAGGCTGCGCCCGCGGCGACCGAAGGGCGCGGGTCCTCACCGCGGGGCCGGGTGCAGTACCGCCGCGGAGGCGGGCTGCGGGGCGGCCCGACCGGGCGAGCGCCTCGGCAGGTGGCGGCGCCGGGGGCGGCAGGAGCGGGCCGACCGCTCCCGCATTCCGAGGCCGTCGGGCGGGGGGGGGCGCCAGCGGCTGCCCAGAGCTCCGCACTCCCGGCTCGGCCCCTCCCGGACAACTTGCCTGGTGGGAAGGAGTTGAGGGTCCCAGGCCCCCGGAACCCCGGGCTCCGCCATCCAGGACAACCGCTCTGCCAACAAGATCCCGCGAGAGTCGGGAAATCGCGCGATACCAACCCACTGGCATCTCGCGAGCTTGCTTTAGAGCCAACATGGCGGCGGGAGGGGGCACTGGAGGGGGATAAATCAGTGCTTTGCTACGTTCACGGACTGGAGAACCGCTGACCCACGGACCCGGGACACCCTCTCCCGCCACGGGGTTCTCCTCCAGCAACGCCGCGGAGTAGGGCGGGAAGCCACGCCGACCCACGGGCTGCAGCGTACACTCGGCGCCGCTCCGCCTCAGGTGCCCGGCCACGAGTCACGTGCCCATCACGTGGGCCGGACACGCGCCAGGCGCCACAGCAGCCTCCCGCCCCCTCAGCGCGCGCCCGTGCGCACGCGCG